CGCAGAGATCGTAATTGCAGCCTTTATGGCGATTATTCCTAGGTATCCACAACGAGTAGTTCCGGAAATTGCTTACATTAAACAAGTAGCATGATGTTGTGCATTCTACTACTGATGCTAATGTAAAGAATTATGAGGTTACTGCACTGGTGTGCTATATCATTTCAGGCAATAAATATCAAAGCACACCTGTAGTCCTTGACTGCTTCGAACAGCAATCTTAGCCGATCCACCTGGAGTAAGATACTGAGCTGTTTCATCTATAACGAAAGACATTCAGGTCTCAGTGCTGAAAATGGACGCACATTGCGGCTTCGGGAGTCAGTGGTTGATAGAGGAGGTTGAGTCTTGAGAGCTTAGGCACCGGGGCGGGTATTCAATTAGACATTATGCTAGTAGTTTCAATTAAAACTGCATTGCTATGGGTAACGCTCGGGTACCACAACATTCGGCCGTGTGGTTTCCTTCGACATCGGTGGTAGAGAAAAGAAAACACTAATCATCTATGGAAGGTTGTTTCTCTGTTATGGGAGTGTAGTTAAGTATTGATGAGTGGGCAGTATTGGAGCTCCTACCTTCCACTGCTTTATTATTTGCCTTCGAATGTTAAGGAGATGTGTAGCTGTCATTCAACCCAAGGGTTAGCTTTTATGAATTTTTTGAGAATCCATATCATGATAGGTTTGCTTTTTAGAGCGCTTTTCATTGGCAAGAAGGTAATACTGAGAATGTGCGAAAATGCTACAATTCTGATACTTCGAATTTAAAAAATAAAATTCCAAGAAGGATTTATACTTCTTATTGACGGTCTTCACAGTTAAGTATATCAACTATAAGTTTTTGAGAATTAATCACAGAATATTGATCGATATCTTAATATTATTGAAACCTAAAAGTATAATAGAGATTTGAAGCGGTGATCATTGCAAAAATCCGGGAAGTGTAGCTAAACTCTATCTCCATCATCTCGTACCAATTCTGAATCCTGCAAAGAGCTAATCCCGTCTGCGATGTGAGCGAGTGATATCGGAATAGAAATAGCGGTCGGAGAATATACCTATTCATGCGGTATGTGAATGTTCAGTTTTCGGGCGTCGAGACAATAGAATTGCCTCGGCAACGTATAAAAGGGAACATCTTCACTTGTTCAAGACG